ATGGACCACTAGACAAGGTACGAATTTAAGCAATCTGATACATGTTTCTTAACCAGAATTTCACGTAAAACACGATTCGCGCAACGAAAATTACTGAAACTAACTCCTAACGAAGATATCGTTTTTATTTCACATTGGTTACGAGGAATTTGAACTGCCCGCTCTCAAGAAACTCAAAGCTCTACGTGAGTCAAATCGCTCACTACAACGGTTTCAGAAAGCTTCTCAATCGAGCAATGTTCATTTCCCACCATGTGTTGTTCAAACTATAGGTAAGCAATTTGCTATAGCTGAGCCAAAGCGTCAAGATTGAGGTTGCCAGATTTCTATATAGCAGAGACTGTCATAATAACATTCAGCGCGCGATGTGAATCTCGTAGAGAATTGAGTTTTCATGAGCGGGTGGTTTGAATTCACGTATCAAGAATCGTTAAATATCTTTGGAAGGAGTTGAATTCGGTAATTTTCGTTGTGCGCATCGTGTTCTACGCGAAATTTTAGTTATGAATCATGTATCAGAATGCTGAAATTCGTACCTTGTCTAGTGGTCCATTACCAAATTCCCTCCGATAAAATGTTTATTCTTGAGGAAAGTTATGAATATTTTTCCGATTAATTTTCAAGAACGTTAGGTAAAATTGCAAACAAAAGTATTTAAAAAATATTTAAAAATTTTCCCGAAAATTCGTGATTTACCAAAGGAGATTTGGCAACGCCCAAAGGTTCATGCGGCGTTCTTTCTTAGCACGGTGGTGGAGGACTTCAAATGCTTGCTGTGTGCATTCCGATGCTATGGAACAAACAGCGAGTTGGCCTCCATGGAAACCGCTCTGTATGGAATTCACCTCCCGCCACGATCTGATGGTGTTTTTATGACCGGGGAAATTGGGGTTTTCTCGGGTGTGCTAACACTTCTCGCTGAACTGGTGATAACGTGTGAGGCCCAACTTCGCGCGTGAGTGAATTTGTGCACCTGTACTAGACCATCAGGCGCACCCATGAGAGTCCGAAAAATTGACGGAAAGAAACCTTTCTGCCGAGTCGTGAGTCAAATACAAATCTAATCTAGCTTTTATTTCATTTTTATTTCCTTAATTGGACGTATTTCTATCAAACGGAACTCTGTGCATTATGACATGAGCCCTGTTATGCATGTATTCTTATGGGTCTCAGGGCTCATGTCTTAATGCACATAGTTCCGTTTGACAGAAATACGTCCAATTTATTTTTTTCTTTCTAATAACTTAGTTCATTGTTGGTCTCCTCGTGCATGAATTTACAAAGCTATACAACTTAATATGATTAGATGGTAAGGGACGTGGCAACATGTAGATATTCACAATAGAAAATTTGCAGGTGTCTGAAATTTCGTGAATTTCAAATTTGAAATGATACTGCCAGGAAAATTGAGAATGAGGTTATCCTTGGTTTCTAAATTGGACAATAATTGGAGAAAATATGACAAAATAACCTAATCTGCTAAAATACATGTGTTTCAATGGAAAATGCCGCCAGATGATGTCACAAGGCGGGAAATTTTCTCACTTTTAAATCTATTTTTCTCCAATTTCCCACGTCAGAAAAAAATTATGAAAAATACTGCGAACTCAGCTCACGAGGCACTCTCGGATGAAGCACTAAAATTTGTGTGTGCAAATTCTCCATTGAGTAATTTTATTGAGCAAATTTTCATTTGAAAATTGCACTAAGTGTACCTTATGTACCTCGAGGAAATTCATAAATGCATACGCGCGCATTCAGAGACTGCTTCGGCGATCACCTAGAATGAAACCAGAAATGCTCAATACTTTCGGGAAATAATGGGTGTTTCCGGTTCTCACCGGAAGTAACCAGGAATGCTGAAAATTTCCGGCAATTATTCATTTCATATGCCGCAATCACACGCTGAATTCGGCAGCTGAATATGGAAGGCAACAGTCAGCGCTCAATAGCTAAAAATCGAGTTATTTTCATCCAGATGTGTATCAAATCTATTCGAATTGTTCAGAAAAATTTGACATTATCCGATGGTAGCTGAGAATCGTTGCTGAATTGCACGAAGCAATTGCATCGTTGCTTGAAGCAACACGTGCAAAATTCAGGCATCGGGTCGATGACTTCCACATTCAAGCCACATTCAGCTTTCACATTCAGAATGTGATTGCGGCAATAATATGACTTTTGCTCCACAGGAGAGATTGTTCCGGCGATCACCTGATGTAACCGGAAATGCTCAATACCTCCGGTAAATAGTCACTTCATGATGCGACTTTCAAATCACTTTCGCGACAATGTAACCGCTCCTAACGACCATTTTAACTAGCAAAAACACCTGGGACGGTCGTGACGTGAAACTTAATGACAGCATATTTTCGAAATATTTTAGGTGGATGACAAACTTTTTACGTAATCAAATGCATTGTTTACTCAGCTGCAAGTATTTTTGATGAAATTAGTACAAAAATCAGAAAAATTTATCAAACCCAAAAAAAGTTATGAGGTCATAAACATTGCAACCTTCCAGTCATGACAGTGACGGTCGTGACATTTTAAGCAGTAATAACAGATTTTCGGGAAGCGGTGTTGGATGGATCATATTAAAATGAAAAAATTGAGAAGGAATATTATTAACTCAACTATTGCGGGTCGTGTATTTTCTAGATTCATCATCAAATGACACTTATTGAATTTTAATAATTAAAAAAGAATAAATAAATAAATAAATCTTGAAAGCCACGGCACTGTATTCTATATCAAAGTGCAAACAATTGACTCAGGAGATACTCAGAAATAATTCTGAAATTGCGGGTCAAATTCTCAAATCGTCTTGTCTTCGGTTCAGTATCTTACATGCGGATTTACCATCAAGTATTTCCATAGAGTACATAGAGTCGTAATGTGAATGGGAGAGCTGGCGCCATGTTCTGCTCGACGAATTCCGAGCCCGGTGTGCGCCGAGTTCGGGTCGCTTTTTCGATACATTTTCGATCCAAAATGGCGGTGTGGAATAAGTGGTAATTCCTATCTCCGTTGTTGTTGTTGTTGCTGTTGTCATCGGATGGCCGGGTACCCGTGTATCGCAAACAATCGATTATGTATCGAAAAAGTGACCCGGCGTCACACAGGAGTCTCGGAATTCGGGACATGGAAAATGCTTAAAAGTGGCGCCAGCTCTCCCAATTACATTACAACTCTATGTACTCTATGAGTATTTCCCTGTAAAATTGTGTGAATTCGTTCTGTCTATTTTTTGTTCTGTCGTGTTCTGTTTCTGTCCTATCGATTTTTTTGTTACACATTTTCCAGAGAGAACTGAGGATGACCCAAGAGATTCGGGAATGTTTGGGCGAGGAGCGATTCTCAAAAGTTGCCTCTATTCTTCAGCTTCCTGTCGACGTCACCAGTATGGGTTCTGAGGAGGCAGAAGAAAAACCAATTGCTTCGAGTGCAGCATCAAAAACATCATTCATTTCTTGTGTTTTGCCGGAGCAGAAAATCCTGTATGCGAAAAAACGACGATGCGTTCTTATTGCCAACAGTCCAACACCAAATAAAGTAAGAGCTACAAAGACAAATTGGACTGCATTTTGCAATTTGGAACTATAAATTCTGGCTCATCTGAAAAAGCACTTATATGCATAGGGAAACTAATGGCACTTACGTTTTACGGCACAACGTGTTTTTAAACCGGGCCGGAATTTATAGTTCTTAATTGCAAAATGCAGTCCAATTTTGATGAAGAAATTCCTTAAATTGAAAAGCCTCAAGTTCGAACACGATGTCTGTGAATCTTAGAAAAACATTTACTTCGATTACGACGTTACCATCTTCTTGACGGTTTTATTTTGTCATCGTGTGTTTTTACGCGCATGTTGGGAAAGGAGAAAAGANGGGGGGGGGGGGGGGGGAGGGAGATCAAGTTAACGCTAAGTCATGTGAGTACGATGACTTACATTACGTTGCTCCTCTGGCGTAAAGGCGTACCTTGATTTCCGCATGAGCCCCAGAAAGCATGGCTTTATATGTGACAGGGCTCATGTTAAAATTAAGATACGCCCTTACGTCAGAATGGCGCGCGCCGATTATTCGCAGTGCGCGGGAAAATGCGGAATGTCAGACACTGAGGTTTACCGTCTAATGTATGTTTAAAAGGCTGCATACACATCGATAACAGTGGCGTGGCGTGAATGATCGATAATCGAAATTTCCCTATTTGAATCCGTTGTAAAGAATCGATTATTAAGGTGTTCGCTGAGAACACCCTGTTAATCGATCCTTTTCCATAGGTTTACATGACAGATCAATCGATGTATCGCAAAACACGCCACACCACTGATCGATAACTGGAGTCGGAAAATGCGAAAGTACCTCCGCGATTGTGACTTTACGAATCTCCACTCTTCATATACACTTTTCGAAAAGGAAAAAATATGTATTTTTTTTATTGAAATTTTTTGGTTTGGAAGAACAATATGAATATTTTTCCTTGAAATTTTCAGACTTTTAGATCAAATTTTGAGCAAAATGCTTCGAGAAATCGGAGGAGAAATATTCACAAATTTTCCTATAAATTCGTTGTTTTTCGAAGGAAATATGGCAACGCCTGATGGCTCATACGGCATTCTTTTTTGGCACGGCAGTATGGTCGACCAATGTGCCTCGCGCTCCAGGGGTTATCCGCTACACGTTACTATTATAATTTTGTGTTATGTAGCACGATGACGACTGTTTCAGATTGCATCCAAGTTCTGCGCCTGGTTGAGATCACTCGGGACCGACAATAGCACGAGTAGTATCAATGAAGAGGTTTTGAAGGAACTCTTCGAGATTCAGCTCGAAAATCCTACCTCAACAGGCATTGAAACGAGGATCAAAGAATTGCCGTTCCTACCCGACGTCATTTCCGACGCCGAAAACATCCCACAGGTACTCTTTGATGCCTTTTGAACAAAATCTCAATTTTCTTAATTCTTTTGAGCCTGCCTTTAAACACATTAAGGTGATTCGATGGACGCCACATTTTGTGTCAAAACGACATGCGATATATCGCATCGATCGGCTCTATTTTTTCAGCTACTCGTCATTTTTCTTGAATTTTGAGATCGCAATTCTGTTGTCAGGAGTTGTTGTCCTCAAAAAAGAATAAAAGAAGTTAGAGTTTGTTAGAATCCGTGATGCATAGATGTGGGTGCATAACGCACCACATTGAGAAAAAGCTATGGCTTATAAACCAATTAGTGGTTCATATGGAACACCATTAATAGTTGTATATTAACTGATGATTATCGGTCTGTGAACTATACTGTGGTAGCTCGTACCATAGTATGGTATATTATACCATAACTAAGGTATACGTATACTTTTATTATATGTTGTCTTCAACACTATTAGTATTGTTCCGTATGAAAATTGGTTTATAAGCCATAGCTTTTTCCTCGTGCATTACTTGTGCATTTATTCTCCTCTCTATTAAAAATAAACTCATCTAATATGTGTAGAGTAGATGTTCTTGTCCATTAAAAATGACAGTTTCAGTTGGACTACATTTCAGCAAAATAGATACATGTATTGGGAAGACTTATAAACACGGTTGCTGTGCATCGTAAGTCCTAGTGAACACTTATTGCTTTTCCAAATCACCCAACGTAGATACATCCTCTACGACTTAAAGGGTTGTTCTTTAACTGTAAAATGTATGACACGGTTGATTTTACAGAGGTCCTTCCGCGCTCTTCATCGGCTGAATATTTTGATGGACGCAAAAACTGTTGGAAAGTCCATTGATAGACCCAAAGTCTCAGCAGGAAGCGCCAAGAAAGGATGGAAGTTTTCAAAAAGCCAAGCGGAGAAGAAGTATACTCCCTCCGGGATTGTACCGGAAGACATCGCAAAATTTGAATATAAATTTTTTGATGATCCACCAATTCAACTGGAATGTTGAAAATATGAAACAAGTCTCTTGAAACTGAAGTAACGAAAAGGACGGCTTCTCAGGATCTATTTTACCTTATGAGACTGAGGGTCATTTGCTCCATTTTTTAAAAAAAATTCCAACGTAGCATTTTTATTGTAGTTTTCATTGACTTTTTTATGGACTTTCGTCTCCTTCCGGTCAAAGTATCACAAGCGCCATGCGACGTTCAAAATTTTCCGCCGCCATTTTATTTTTTTATAAAGAACTTGTTCAACAAAGCTGTCCGAAAATTTCACTGAATTTTCTTTGTGCTGTCGATAAAATTCAGTAGAATTTTCGGACAGCTCCGCTGAACAATTTCTTTGTAAAATAATAAAATAGCGGCGAAGATTTTTAAACGACGCATATGGCGCTTGTGATACTTTGGCCGAAAGGTGACAACTTAACAAAGTAGATGAGTGAGAACTCAGTATGGGAAAGTCAAGTATCCGCGAGCACACTTTCTTTCTGCAACTTTGCCGCAAATATTAATTATAGTTTTCGCCAATGAATTTTCGCTAATCATAAAAGTTGGCAACACCGTTAACTACAAATTATACAGGCAGTAATTATTTCATGTAATATAATGCGTCTCAATAATTTTAAATAAGAAGATTTAAATGCAAGTGAAATGGAAAATTGACAAAAAAGTAAGGTCTATGTAATTAAAATTGGGTAATATACTCCTGCAAAAAGTAGCCTCTGTTTTATTTATTTAAGTATCCAATATCATCAAAGCCCCGTGTCTCTAATGTTTTAAATGAAGAATTTTATCAGACGATTGATTCCATGCGATGGTTTAAAACTCGGATTTTTTCAAACTAATGAAAGGAAAACCACAAATCCGAATTTAATTTTGATTTAGTTTTTAATTTTGATGTTGAGACTGACATATAATGAAGTTTTACAACAGGGGATCACCTCGTGATTTTAAAGCCGAATCCTGGATTCAGTTNGGCGAGGAGCGATTCTCAAAAGTTGCCTCTATTCTTCAGCTTCCTGTCGACGTCACCAGTATGGGTTCTGAGGAGGCAGAAGAAAAACCAATTGCTTCGAGTGCAGCATCAAAAACATCATTCATTTCTTGTGTTTTGCCGGAGCAGAAAATCCTGTATGCGAAAAAACGACGATGCGTTCTTATTGCCAACAGTCCAACACCAAATAAAGTAAGAGCTACAAAGACAAATTGGACTGCATTTTGCAATTTGGAACTATAAATTCTGGCTCATCTGAAAAAGCACTTATATGCATAGGGAAACTAATGGCACTTACGTTTTACGGCACAACGTGTTTTTAAACCGGGCCGGAATTTATAGTTCTTAATTGCAAAATGCAGTCCAATTTTGATGAAGAAATTCCTTAAATTGAAAAGCCTCAAGTTCGAACACGATGTCTGTGAATCTTAGAAAAACATTTACTTCGATTACGACGTTACCATCTTCTTGACGGTTTTATTTTGTCATCGTGTGTTTTTACGCGCATGTTGGGAAAGGAGAAAAGAGGGGGATTGAAAAAAAAAGAAAGAAAAAAAAGAGAGAAAAAAAGAAAGAAAATGCTGCAACAAATTGGGAAGGAAACAACTCACAAGTGCTCGTATCATGCAGCGGAGGTTTGATTAATCGAGTTTCACCGAGTAGGCAACAAAACTTGACGCATGGATGTGCTCGTTGCATCACACCGGATTGAAGGCAATTTATACGCTCTGTTTCGGTATCCTAGTTTATTGGTTACACTTTCGGTTCGGACGCATGGCGTTTAATGAAAATCAGGAGGGTGCATTTCAACGTTGCAAATTTTGTTTTATAATGTATTTTTTGAAATACTACTCAACGTCATTTCTTAAAAGTTTTTGTGAATCTTTCGTCTTTTTAACAGAAACGTTCCTGTGAGATTTCACAGAGAATCTAAGTAGACAGTTTAATTCAAAGAATGCCGTTGAGTGAAAATTTGAAAATTTAGGAATAATTGGTATATGGGCTCATTTGCAACGTTGCAAAGTATCACCCGATAACTAATATCCATGTTCATTTACGTGCCTTGCATGATAAATTTAAGGGAATTCCGTCAATAAATCAAAGAGATTCATCAAGAATGAAAGAAAAGAAAGAGCATTACGCATCATCCTGACCATCCTGCACACCATCATTGCCGTCTTTTATTCAACGTAATACTTTTTTTTCAAGTTTCAGGAGTTCTTTCCTGTCATTTGACAAAAAAATTCTAAGCCTGAAACATCCTCGAGAATATCGAAGTCTTCTTCCGGAAGCCGCTTTCTATTCCCGCCAACTCCTCGGTAAGATGAATTTCCATGTATAGGATCACAAAACATCGTCTCCTGGACGAAAGAACGTAACTCCATTTTAATGTTGCCAAATTTCCCCTTAAAAATTGCCTATTAATCAAGAGAATCTTGGGCATTTCTGACTGAAAATTTCCCTGATTTTTCTCTAGATTCCAAGCAAAAAACAGACCAATGTATGATGAAAATTGCTTGCGTACATTTTTGTAAAATAAATTAATTGTTCGAGTCAATTTGGCAACCTTGGAATGGAATTACGTTCCTTCGTGCTAGAAACGACGAAAAGATGCACTATTTCTGCGTATTAGGGTTAAAGCAAAATAAGATCACCCACTTTTGAGGTGCGATAGAAGATACTGCCGTCCTGAACTGAAGACAACAGATCTTCTGTCACACTATAAAAGTGGGTATACTTTAAATCGTGGACTTAACCGTGCTGTAATGTCAATAATAAGGCTTTTGAGAATTAATCAAGTAGAGAAGATGGAGGTGCTTTACACGGAGGAGTGCTTTATGACTGTTTTGGAACAAAAAAAGTCAACAAATTATAAACCAAATCGGAATTACTGCGGTTTGAAGTTCGTTCTTCAAATTTTGAGAGAAAGCTACTTGAAATCCTAACTCTGCATGTTCTAGGTAGGATATTTCCGGATAGTGCTGAAACTTAATATCTTCTATTGAGAAAAATAAACTGAAGTACTACAGCTTATTTTAATCAGAATATCAGATTAACATTTCAGTAAAAATCTCAATATTAGATTTTTCGACAAACTCAAGATAAATGACCTCACTGAAAATGTTGCCACCTCGGAATAAGGTTCCTTTTCTCGGAAACATTCATAATTAAGGAGATTGGAGGACAAGGCGCATAAGTGCAGTTTTTGAAAAAATTGAGATATTCATGAACTCAACTATTACTAGTTAGAAAGTATATTCTGTGAGAAATTCACGACTAAAATCCAACTTTAAAGCATCAAAAAGTGAGTTTAAACCTTCTTTTCGCCATAAGGCTCCGTGTAATTTAGAAACTTTAATCACGCATTCCTTTAAATAGCAAAAACTACACTCATGTGCTTTGCCCTCCAAGCCCCTCAATTATGAAAAAAAATTATAGGAGCACAAAGGGCTCACCAATAAAGCATGTCTCGTCACCTTTCGACCAAAGTATGACATGTGCCATGCAACGTTTAAAAATTTCCGCTGCCATTTTATTTTTTACAGAGAAATTGATCAACGAAGCTGTCCGAAAATTTCACTGAATTTCTTTTGCACTGCCGAAATTCAGTAAAAATTTTCAAACAGATTCAAACAAGAATTTCTCTGTAAAAAATAAAATCTCGGCGGAAATTTTGCGACGTCGCATTGCGCCTGTGATACTTTGACCGGGAGTTGATAGTCTCGGTTTATTTCCGTAAAAATGATTTGCTACGGGTTCCATCTATGTGGATCAGTGTTCGAAACTATCTATGGAGTTTCAGGAGCCATGTGACGCGTCAAGTTCGATTTTTAGGGAAAGAGAAAGAAGAAGAATTTGAAGATTTTTTAGGGGCCAAATTGACTTTTTGCTTGTGTATCACGGCGCATTTAGTGACAAGTTAAACGCAAGATGTTTTAGTTACAGAACTAGTAGCTGTTACTTGGGGGAAATTTCGAAAAATCACCAAACAGAAAAACTAGAATTTTCATTTTTTTAGAGCGGGGAGGCAATTTTAAGGGGCCACGGTGGCGCAGAGCCTTCATTTTTTAGGCGCCATGACCGATTTTTTTAGGCGCATTTGGCGCGTTGGCGCCTGTGAGTTCCGAACACTGAGGATAAACGAAGTCTTATCATCAATAACGTGCTAAGTGCCAAAAAATGGAAAACGGAGTTAGCACTGGAAATGCATGCTATGTGCCATCGACATTGACAACATAGGGTCAAGCGTACTAAGTGCCATTGCAACGATTTGCAACGAAGTCCAATGGCACTTAGCACGCTTTACCCTATGTTGTCAATGGCGCATAGCATGCATTTCCAGTGCTAACTCCGTTTTCCATTTTTTGGCACTTAGCACGTTATTGATGATAAGACTTCAACTATTTTGCGCAAACACGTCCGATTCATACTTTAGAGCACCTCTGTTTTCTATGCATCATGGACAGCGCTACATCTTTCACGGGCCTGCCGAGGAACCAGTGTAACCCGTACTTGAGATTCATCCGCCAACCCCCGGAAAAAGCCAACATTTGGAAACCCCCAGAAGTCATCACGGAGCAAGCCGTTCTCAAAATGCCTCTGATGGAACGGGGATTATACGTTTCAAACATGGTGAGCTCCGACGTCATCAAAATATATATCATGAGGGGAGGAGGGGCGATAAATTATTTTCAACACAATACCGTGTATCAACGAACACGGATGGGGAAGGGAGATCAAACGCTAAGTCATGTGAGTACGATGACTTACATTACGTCGCTCCTCTGGCGTAAAGGCGTACCTTGATTTCTGTATGAGCCCCAGAGAGCATGGCTTTATATGTACGACAGGGCTCACGTCAACATTGAGATACGCCCTTACGCCAGAAGGGCGCGTGCCGATTATTCGCAGTGCGCGGGAAAATGCTGAATGTCAGACACTGAGGTTTACCGTCTAATGTATGTTTAAAAGGCTGCATACGCATCGATAACAGTGGCGCGGCGTGAATGTTCGATTATCGAAATTTCTCTACTCGAATCCGTGGTAAAGAATCGATTATTAAGGTGTTCGCTGCGAACACCTTGTTAATCGATCCTTTTCCATAGGTTTAAATGACAGATCAATCTATATATCGCAAAACACGCCACACCGCTGATCGATAACTGGAGTCGGAAAATGCGAAAGTATCTCCGCGATTGTGACTTTACGAATCTCCGCTCTTTATATACAATTTTCGGAAAGAAAAAAATATGTAATTTTTTTTTTATTGAAATTTTTTGTGAGTTTCCTTCACTCATTCCAATGTATTAGCAGATGGTACGATGGAGGTATTCCGATCGATTTCCTTTTAAGAATGAAACCTAATCGGAGATTTTGAAACGTTCCGATGGGATCACAAAATTTTCAACTGCGTGCCCGTCGACGCATGTGTTGCTGGTAAAAGGTCAAAACAGATATCGATGAACAAAGTGCGAAACAGCGTCTCTCTGTTCGCGACGTCGCTGACTTCTTGTCATACTTCATTTTTCCAACGGAAATCTGGTCAACTTTAAATGCTTTGAAAGCTTCCATGATCGCATGTTCCTCTCAATTAGCAGAATATTCCGAAAAAATTTCAAGATACATAGTTGACTTGTTCCCTTCGAAATGATAAAATAGGAGCAGAGATTTCGAGACACCGCAATGGCGATACGTAGTTTCGCACTTTAGCCATCGGTATGTTGTCAAATGCATCCTCAGGCATGGTCATTTTTACCTCTTAACTTACGAGATTCTGGGTTGTTAGCAAATATTTTACCAGAACTATCAAAGGGACTTTATTGTGTCGCAATTTAGTGTAATTGCACACGTTCCTTTGTAGAAGGAAGATATATTTCGTGAAATGACCTTAGGCAGAGGAACGCGCCTTACGCACCCGTGAGGCTTTGACAGCTCCTAACAGGGCCGAGTTTACCTACATGCCACATGCCGCCCATGGGCCGCCTGTATTTTGCCGCCCCCTTCTTATTCGTTTTGAAACATTAATAAAAACCATAAAGTGAACGTGCCGGAGACACGTTTACTCGTTTTGGACACATTTTTTGCGAAAGCCCCATCAACACTACCAGCACAATTTTACGGAACTTTGCGCGAAAGTCCGTAAACCTATTTCTATTTGGACAAGGCCTTCTATTTATAAGAAATGAACGAAAAAATTATGAAAGAACAAACAGTAATGTGGTTTAATAATTTTAATGTCCGCCGCGCCGCGTTGATCGCACGTTTGACGCAATGAGTGAAGTATTCGTGCAGTCTTGTAGGCGCTATGCGTTTCGTGTTGACCGCATTGTGTTAGACGCAATGCGTGAAGTATTCATGCAGTCTTGTAGGCGCTAATATGTGTTACATGCCGACCTTCGCGCCGAGAGCTTCTCCTTTACATCCCTAGTCCTCGTGGTCCTATGCTGCGGTGCCAAGGAAAAACGCCGTATGAGCATTCGAGTGTTGCCAAATTTCCTCTCAGAAAACAGCCGGTTTGGAAGAACAATATGAATATTTTTTCTTGAAATTTTCAGACTTTTAGATCAAATTTTGAGCAAAATCCTTCGAGAAATCGGAGGAGAAATATTCAAAAAATTTCCTATGAATTCGTTGTTTTTCGAAGGAAATATGGCAACGCCTGATGGCTCATACGGCGTTCTTTCTTGGCACGGCAGTATGGTCGACCAATCCGCTTCACGCCTCAGGGGTTATGCGCTACACGTTACTGTTATAATTTTGTGTTATGTAGCATGATGACGATTGTTTCAGATTGCGTCCAAGTTCTGCGCCTGGTTAAGATCACTCGGGACCGACAATAGCACGAGTAGTATCAATGAAGAGGTTTTGAAGGAACTCTTCGAGATTCAGCTTGAAAATCCTACCTCAACAGGCATTGAAACGAGGATCAAAGAATTGCCGTTCCTACCCGATGTCATCTCCGACGCCGAAAACATCCCACAGGTACTCTTTGATGCCTTTTGAACAAAATCGCAATTTTCTTGATTATTTTGAGCCTGCCTTTAAACACATTAAGGTGATTCGATGGACGTCATATTTTGTGTCAAAACGACATGCGATATATCGCATAGATTGGCTCTATTTTTTCAGCTACTCGTCATTTTTCTCGAATTTTGAGATCGCAATTCTGTTGTCAGGAGACTAAACAATCCACTTACCAATTTTGACAAACAAATTCAACGTAATATAGGTGTGGTTTTTTCAGAGAGAAAATATTGCATTCGAGTGTAGTTTCAATATCAGTATCGAATGCGATATTTTCTCTCTGAAAAAACCACACCTATGTTACGTTGAATTTGTTTGTCAAAATTGGTAAGAGAGTTGTCTAGTCTCGTGACAACAGAATTGCGATCTCAAAATTCGAAAAAAATGACAAGTAGCCGAGAAAATGGAACTAATTGATGCGATACATCGCATGTCGTTCTGACACAAATTATGGCGTCCATCGAATCACCTTAAAAGAAAAATCTACATCTAAATTCTTACTTAAAAATTAATCTTGTCCTGAAAAAGGAGGAGTCATTCTCTCTAGTATGAAAAAAGGCGGACATTATGTAGACCGTTGGAATGCTTTTCCAAATCACCCAACGTAGATACATCCTCTACGACTTAAATGGTTGTTATTTAACTGTAAAATGTATGACACGGTTGTTTTTACAGAGGTCCTTCCGCGCTCTTCATCGGCTGAATATTTTGATGGACGCAAAAACTGCTGGAAATTCCAATGATAGACGCAAAGTCTCAGCAGGAAGCACCAAGAGAGGATGGAAGTTTTCAAAAAGCCAAGCAAAGGAGAAGTATGTTCCCTCCGGGATTGTACCGGAAGACATCGCAAAATTTGAATATAAGTTTTTTGATGATCCACCAATTCAACCGGAATGTTGAAAATATGAAACAAGTCTCTCGAAGCTGAAGTAACGAAAAGGACGGCTTTTCAGGATCTATGTTACCTCATGAGACTGAGGGTCATTTGTTCCATTTTTGTTTTAAAAAAAAAAAATCCATCGTAACTTTTTTATTGTAGTTTTTATTGACTTCATTTCGTTTCCTCCTGGTCAAAGTATCACAAGCGCCATGCGACGTTCAAAAATTTCCGCCGCCATTTTATTTTTTTAATACAGAACTTGTTCAACAAAGCTGTCCGAAAATTTCACTGAATTTTCTTCGTGCTGTCGATAAAATTCAGTGAAATTTTCGGACAGCTTCGTTGAGCAATTTCCTTGCAAAAGAATAAAATAGCGGCGGAAATTTTTAAACGGTGCATGGCACTTGTGCTACTTTGGCTGGAAGATGACAATTTAACAGAGTAGATGAGTGAGAAGTCAGTATGGGAAAGTCAAGTATCCGCGAGCCCGCTTTCTTTCTGCAACTTTGCCGCAAATGTTAATTAGCGTTTTTGCCAATGAATTTTCTCTACTCATAATAGTTGGCAACACTGTTAATTACAAAATGTACGGGCAGTAATTATTTCATGCAATATGATGCGTCTCAATTATTGTAAATCAGAAGATTTAAATGCAAGTGAAATGGGAAACTGACAAAAAAGTAAGGTCTGATTTAAATCAGGTAATATACTCCTGCAAAAAGTAGCCTCTGTTTTATTCATTTAATTGTCCAATATCATTAAAGCCCCGTGCCACTGATGTTTTAAACGAAGACTTTTCTCAGACTTTTGATTCTTTGCGATGGTTTAAAACTCGGATTTTTTCAAACTGATGAAAGGAAAACCACAAATCCGAATTTAATTTTGATTTAGTTTTTAATTTTGATGTTGAGACTGCGCACACATACAATGAAGTTTTCCAACAGGGGATCACCTCGCGATTTCAAAGCCAAATCCTGGATTCAGTTCGGTAGGGGGAGGGGAAAAAAACCTTGAAGCACACCATTCAACATGCCGACGACACGATAAATGCAGCGACACAACTCATTCCGTCATTGCAAGGCGCAACACTGAAGGCGCTCTGGCGTTTTTAATAGCAAGGCCTGGATACAACTATTCGTGTTCAAGGGACGTCCGTATTGCATACACACGAGATTGCAGGCGATTCGGCTTTCTCAATCGGAACACTTGGTGGCAACTATTCATTCGTCCCTAAGGGATGTTTGTGTTGTAACTTTAATTGCGTCGACTATATACGATACCTCGAAAACTAACAGAATTGCTGCAGCGTTGGCCAATAGTGTGATTTCCGAAAACGTTATTGCCATAAAAGTCAATTGCTGATGAGTGATTTACGGAATTCAATGATTGTGCGGAAACGTTACCGGTGGAAAATTTTGCGGATCAGTTTTGAGACCCTTAATGGCACATTTGTTCGAAAGTCAAGTGTACGATCCCTTTACACCATAAGCAAAATGATACGCCCGCGGAATAGAACATTCATTAGGTGCGAGTGTATGTTGGGAAAGTATGTAAATGTAGGTACACATTTTTAGTGGTTATTTCTAATTTAACAAATCGCATTTTAAACTTCTTTAGTTTCACAGGAATGGAACAGATGATTTTCGGTATGGGTTGCTTTTTCCTTCTCTGTTTCATCCCTTTTCCGAATTGCGTATTCATGAGTCTTGACTCCAAGAGAGACCGAGAAGGAAGGGAAAACACAGGAGATTTGTTTTGAGTAGCGATTGCAAAGAAAATCGACGGAGGAAATTTGTTTTCTCCCACCTGAGGGCTCAGGCGCGGTGGAGGAACTAACACAACACTGTTGTCATTTTTCCAGTGGTGAACGCCGTAATGCTCCATAATTTCCCAAAGGTTTCAGAGAAATAATATATAAATTTGGATCCGTCAAGGCCCACGGACATTGAGCTGGGAAAAATTCAGCTTCTAAGTCTGGTCGTATGTCGACACTCTCACCACCATAAGTTAATTCGCTAAAGTTTGCAAGAACATACGAAAACGTGTTCGCACATATGACTTATTCAAACAGAAATGAGACCTAATGGCGCCGTTAAACTCAAAATTCAGATTATAAAACCATAGTATAGACAAGTAGTTAATTACCTTTACCATTTATACTAATTGCGGTCAAAATTATTTGGAAAACGTTTTGCAATCGGGAACTACGATTTTTGGCTCATTTGTAAAAACACGTATAGGCATATAGAGAAATTAATTGCACATACTTTGATTCTTAACTGTGCCAGAAATTGTAATTGCGAAATTTAGTCCATTTTATATCCTAATTTCATAACCATTGTTTCCTTTACGAAAGAGCCTACCTCCATTTCAAGGTTGCCAAATTGACTCAAACAATTCAAACGAGAACGTAAACCGTGCAGTTGCTGTCCAAATTATTTTTCATTTTCGCACAAGATCAGAGAAAAAATTGGTTAAATTCTCTGCTAGAAATTCCCTGGATTCTTTTGGTAAAAATGCGATTCACGAAAGGAAATTTGGCAACATTGAGATATAGTTACGCTCTTTCGTGGGTGAAACAACGAATCTTTCTCCAAATTTCTGAGGAGCCACCTTAATTCAAAAACACTCACACGTGCGCAGAAAAGCGAGTCCTTTGAGCTCGATAAGGTTTGGCAACGGATCCGCATGAATAGAAAAGGTGGTGGCAGCATGTGTCATTCGGTTTCCTAGCCTGTCACTAATGCTGCCTCGCGGATCGAATACCCACGGTGGCGCGCGGCGCTTTTTTTAAAGANCGCACAATGGGAGCGAGTCAATGGAGGAAGTTGGACTCAGTGGAAGAAGCTTAAGTATATCTTCGTTAGTATAAGACGTAGGAGTTTGAAAGAGGTTTTCTCGTAAAATTTCTTCTACGGAACACTCCTTAAAATTCTTATCATGACAGGATGGACCGCGTTTAGCAGAGAAAAACCAAGCCACATGAGCCATTGGCAAATTTAACCTGGCAATTTAATTTTTTACGAGAGAATACGTTTCCGTGGATTCCTTTAAAATTTTTAAGGAATTTGCTTCGCACTACGCAGAAAATTCAATGGAATTTGCACAAAAATCCGCAAGCCGTTTTCGTGTGCAAAATTAATTTGCCCGATTAAATTTGAAAATAGCTGATGTGGCTTGGTTCCTTTTCGATTTACACGGTACAAATGAACATAAAAATGTGGGGTTTTAGTTAAAAATTTCTTGTGCGACCTCTCCAATGCCTCGTCCCACTGTGCGGTATCCCTGCTGGTGCTCCGATCTCAGCTCCGGCTACTGTTGCACAAACAACGGAACCGATATTGATGCCATAAGCCGAGAGATTTATGAGTTTCCGTCGTAAAATTTGTCCAAAGACAAGATATCCACGGATACTTCCCTCGGAAAGGCTGTAAGGCAAATGTTGGAGGTAGAACGGAGTTCCTTTGAAGGGAGAGCTAAGGTGAATCTCAGTGACGTGGGAAAGATATCTGCCGCTACGTTGTGCTGCTACCAAAGTTGTGTCTTTGGGAAGTGATAATTATCGTATATTATACACATTTTTGTTAGAAATTGATTTTTGAAGTGTAGCCGTATTTATACAGGTTAGTATGCTATCAATTTTACGAAGGTTCAATGGAAAGGAGGGGAACAGACGAGGGACGCTTTTTAATCCATCCTGAATTTCCTCAACTCTAGGATTTTTTGATTATTGAAGGCCTATTTTTTACAAAATGCCCGATGATTTGGCTATTTACGGTGTCTTTTTGGGTATATCACTGGCCGGAACTTAGGTCTTCTAAAGGCTGATTCCGACGAGAGATGCGGGTTTTGAGGGTTTGTGGTTGAATGCGGAAAAATCCACAATTTTTGCCCAAATCGGCTCTCATTTCCATATTTAGATCAGTAATAGACCCCCCAAAAAAATCGAAAATGACCAAATCATGCTGTATCCAATTAAATACGGAGCTCCGATGAACTTTACGATTTTTTAATAGCAAAGTCGAGAATATTCAGGGTGGGCCCAAAAACCTCCCTTAAACCCCTCCTTCATGTTGAAAATTAGGGTAACGGATGTCACTTATTGACTAAATGTGAATGAGAAGATGTAATAGCTCTCCCTTTACCTGTCAACGCCAGTGGTGATTTTGCAAGTTGGTTGCTTGTTTTTCCTCCATTTAAATCCATTCCAAAAATCGATTTTAGGTGAGGCAAGCTGCCTCACCAAGAATCGATTGTTTTACATACATTTGAATGGAGGAAAGACGGTGTTGCCAACTTGCAAAATTGCCACTGGTCAGCACGCCTAGGTTTCAATGGTCAAACAAAATTCTCTAAGTATGTATAGCAATAGCACCGATGACAAAATCAACCTTCAAGAAACGACATTAGACACGGTTCAGCACCGAACACGGGCTTTATGACACGGTCATTGAATTCCACCCGAAATCAAAGTGGTTTAACAATCTCCTCCCTGATTGGCCCGGAGCTCGGGTATAGCGATAACGGGAGACGATTTTTCCCCTCTCCTGAGCCTTCTGAATATTTGATCCTTGAATGATTTAGCAAAGTCGATGACATACATTTTTCGACGAGCTTTTCCGCGCGCAGGAAGTTGGCACGCGCTAGATTACAGGAATCTGCAGACTGATAATCTGCTTTCGGACGGAACGGAAATTACTCTCGATGGTCCGACGATTGGAAAACGAATTCGGTCCTCCCCTCCAATTAATTATTGAAACTCACTTCTGAGCACAAATATTCTCGAGTCCATCGGCCGTGCGATTGGATGTATTTCAATCATCAATCAAAAGGAACCATCTTCATGTGACATGGGCCCTACCATGGACGTATTCTTATGGGTGATAGGGCTCAAGTAAAAATAGAGATAGTTCCTTTTAATGGGAGGAGACACCGAATCAAAACAAAAAGGTGGACTTCAAACTTACGAGCTTCAGTTTGATCGACGTGTATCAGTTATTTGCGGCCGCACAAACGAACTGCATTTTGCAGTAAAATAGGTACTACACCATATCTGGCTCAGCCATAAAAGCACATATTTACATAGGGGAACTGATCACACTTGTGTTGTTTATAAAAATGTCACAAAATATAGTTCCTTCTTACAAAAC